CATCATCACCACCACCATCATCATCACCACCACCACCATCACCACCATCATCATCACCACCACCACCATCACCACCATCACCATCATCACCACTGTCATCATCACCATTATCATCACCATCATCATCACCACAACTATTAATCATCATCATCTTCAAAATCATTACTACCACCATCATTATCATCATCACTATCACCAACATCATCATCACCATTATCATCACCATCACCACCACCATCACCACCATCATCATCACCACCACCATCATCACCACCACCATCACCACCATCATCATCACCACCACCACCATCATCACCACCACCATCATCACCACTGTCATCATCACCATTATCATCACCATCATCATTACCACAACTATTAATCATCATCATCTTCAAAATCATTACTACCACCATCATTATCATCATCACTATCACCAACATCATCATCACCACCACCACCATCATCATCACCACCACCATCATCATCACCATTATCATCACCATCATCATTACCACCACTAGTAATCATCATCATCATCATCCTCATCAAAATCATTACTACCACCATCATCATCATCACCATAATTATCACCATTATCATTACCACCACTAGTAATCATCATCATCATCATCATCATCATCATCATCAAAATCATTACTACCACCATCACCACTATCACAATCACCACCGTCATCATCACCACCATCATCACCACCGTCATCATCACCATTATCATCACCACCACCATCACCATTACCACCACTAGTAATCATCATCATCATGGTCATCAAAATCATTACTACCACCATCATCATCACCACCATCATCATCATCATCATCACCACCACCATCATCACCACCACCATCATTACCACCACCATCACCATCATTTGTGGACCTTAGTCAGAACCAGAACAGTTGATGGAGTACCTCAGCTGAAATCTGAGGGAGGAAGATGAGGATGAAGAGGAGCAGTAGCTCCTCCTCCATAATTCATCATCGACTAGTTCATGTCCAGCTACTCCACAGAGAGCAAGTGTGAGATGAAGAGGAAGGCCTGAGGGGCTGATGATGAAGAGGAGGAGCTTGTTTCTTCCTCTCAGTGTTTCTGTTGGTCTATAAATAAGCTGCAGATCTGCTGAACAAACAATCCTTCACCAGGAAGAGCTGCTGCAGCGGAACTATGGTACTATAGTACTGCAGTAATACGGGTACTATAGATAGTACAGCTACTATAG